TAATGTTTAATTATAAAATTAATTGTTATATCATAAATTAGATACTGTCATCATTTTCATTTAACAAAATAACGATCTTTCATTAGGTTAAGTTACAAATTGTTTATCACCTTGTTACTTAGATAAAATCACCTAACACATCAAACTATGTACATTATAATCATCTTATTACATTTTGGCCCGGCAGCATGTACGGTCCAACCGTACATTTCTGCTGGCGTTAACATTTTATGTGAAGCAATCGATATAGTTCGACAATTATAAAAATTGTGTTAGTTAACGTAATCACCGTAACCGCGACGGACGCGAGCTCATTAACATAACATTAACATTTAACATTTTTTAATTATTTTAATATTATATTTTTAACTTCTTTATTAAACTGTTTTATATAAAATTTTAATTATTATTAAACATACGTCCAATACCCGAACTACTAAACGGTGCACGTTTGAATTCTACCGATTGACTGACCGTACAATAGCACTATCGATCATGACATGTAAATGTAATTCCAATTACTGAACTATTTCATTTTAGGAACCCATCTCATATTAGATTACCTTTACATGGTACGTTTACCCTATCATCGAAAAATTAAAATATATATATGTGCTGTCACCCGAAGACTAGGGTTGAATGTCTCGTTACCAGTAAAAAATGTTTCCCGTTCTCTATTATGCTGCTATTTTAAGCTAGAATTCTGAAAGAGTGTGGTCTTCTTCGGTCGAGCTGACCCGTTCGTGCTGCAGTCGTAATTCAGCTGCAGCGTGGTTCTAAATGTCTCGTATGAAGATATTTTAGTTCTACTATTTTATACAATGATTGAAATATATGAGAAAGCTCAAGGTCGCTTCTGGCATAGCAAGCACTCTATGGTTGGAGTTTTTCTGTACGATTAGACTTCGTAATGAGAATATCTGTAGAACCAGATTAACCGACATAGCCCAACGGATCAGTAAGCTGAAGTAGCAGTAGGCCGCTCATATAGCTCGAAGAACTGATAATCGAAGGGAAATTTCTCGAAAAGGTTCTCGAGTGGCACTCGCGTACCGATAAGCGTAGTGCAGAGCGGACCCCACAAGATAGAGTGACGACCTGGTAAGAAATGGAGGAAGTCGACGGAACAGGTGACTCTGAGCCGTTTTGTATGTCATTCCTTGGGGGACACCTATATTCAGCTGTGGATTTGTGATGGGTTGTATTGATGATGATAATGATTTTTGAAATAGTTATTCCTCTATCACTTACCATGATATAATGCTGATATTTCCCAATACCTTTATTTAATTACAATAGTGACGAGAATGATCAGTTGAGCTGACCATTTGTGGCGACCATTTGAAAGAGTATACATACCTAAATATTCTAACAGTGTCAATTAGATGCCTTATACTCTTTCTCGTGTGTGTTGTTTGAAACACACTCGAGAAGGGGTGTTTGCTCTTAACCCCCACATATTTTGTTTTATTGTGTCTAAAAATATATATATTTGTTTTATAGAATGTGGGTAGCAAACGAGCACAAAACCCACACGATGGTAAGTGGATGCTGTGGCCCATAGACCTCTACATTTATCCTTGAATAAGAATGCAGATGCGTTATCACTATTGAGAACTATGATGGAATCCCCCCTTTTCCTTTAAAATTCGGTACACTCATCATACGAAACACAGAAGCATTAAGCTGCCATTTTATGCTGGCATTCTGGGAGAGGTTGGTGCTACCCCGGTCGAGCGGATCCATTCGCGCTGCAACCATAACATATCTGAAGCGTGACTCTGCCACGTAGTAAATATTATATTTCTTTCAATACTTGAATTGCTTACCACAAACACAATACTTGGATTGCTATTTTCAATAGTAAGAATCCATATTTTAGGATTGTAAATATTTTAGTACCCAAGTATTTTTAGATAAGTGACGTTGCGTGATAGACTTTGAATCAACGTCAACAAGATAGACGTCTCCCATCAGTCTTGGCAGACAGCAAAATTATAAATAGATAGGTTATGAAAACATCAAGGCGATAAAGAAGTTTCTGTTTTTTCGTACTATGATAGATAAGAGCTTATAAAAAATAAAAGCATTTTTCCACCTATTGAGTTAACGCGTGTTTATGTATATTCATGTGGCCTCTGCGAATTAACACCTCAGCGAAATATCTGCAATAAAAGTTAATGTAAAGTTATAGAATAAATACGTCCCAATGCTGGGCATAGACCTATTTTTATTTCAGAGTGAGTTTTAGATAAGAGAATGTTTGCCGCGCTGCTCCTACACGTGTTGGCGGATTTCGTGTCTTTGAAATATTTAATTTTTATTTTCACAGACATGCAGGTTTCCTCACGATGTTTTCCTTCACCGTCAAGCACATGGTAAGTCAGCATTTAAAATTGCAATTAATAATTTCATTGGTTGGCGAAGAAAAAATCCAAATTGGTTGCGTATTGTGAATTTTTTTATACGTGTAGAGCCTAGAGCCACGCTGCAGCTATATTAAGGTTGTAGCATGAGTGGGTCGGCTCGACTGGGGAAGGATCACGCTCTCACAGAATACCAGCGTAAAATAGCAGCTTAATGCTGCTGTGTTTCATATGGTGAGTGTAGAGAACCGGAGACCCGTTTTACTGGAATCAAGGCAATCCATCTTAGTCCTCAAGGATGACAACGCATTTGTATATTGATTCTTAATCGAGGTTAAATGTAGATAGATATCTTTGGGCCACAGCATCCACTTACCATAAGGTGGACTGTGTGCTCGTTTGTCACGCTTATCCTATTTAAAAAAATTACAGCGAGAGCTTAGACTTTGAGCTACCACGGTTCACCGAAATAACTTTCATAATATCGGAAGGTATGGACCTGTATTGAACTTCATTCAGTGTGTTAAAAAACAGAAAATATATATTTTTTAAAAGAACGTTAATGTAAATCGAAACTTGTTTAGTGTTCATATTGTGAACATCTTACTTTAACCGAGTGCCAAAATCTAGAAGCTTCTATATTCGAAACATATGTTTTTTGTATGTTTGCCGATTTCTTTGAAACAACTGAACCGATTCTTGTCTTTAGGAGTGATCTCATACAAGTTCTAAGAAAATAACTACCTGATGCCATTTAGTCGACATTTTGGTCGCCATTTTGAATTTTTAATATTCCTTAGTGTAAAATAATTAATTAAAAAAAACACATAATAGCTCTATATAAAGCACATCACATAAGCTAAATATCAAGGAATTAATATATCTTAATTGACAGTAAGCGCGTTTTTCTTAACCCGTTCAGCCATTGCAATTACTTATAAATAGAAAATTAATGATTCACGTCTCGTGTTTGTTCTTTTAGTCATTTCAACTGATAAACTGATTTGGATATTCTCCAACTTTTTGCACGTGCATACACAACTCATGTCAAACGAGTAGGTAGGGACGTATTATTAAGCTTTCTATTGTTTTTGCGTTCAGCGGTATTTAAGTCTGAAAATTATACATTGTCAAGGATTTTGTTATATAATGTCATTGTTTTACATTCTTTTGTTTTAAAGGTCGAATGGCATAATATTCTTTGTCTAAAATTACAACTTATTGAAAAAATAAATAAAAGAAAAAGTCTTATTGTTACAGGTATAATAAAATTTTTGGACATCATTTGAAAGTAAAAATATATAAATCAAAAACTTTTTTGTAAATACACGATAAAAAAAAAGAAAGAAAGAGAAAAAAAAAAGAATATTAACACAAATAAAATATTTTAAACAAATGTTCCGAGCGTTTATCACTAACGTACCTACATCGCGCTTGGAACATATTTGTCCTTGCAGTTCTAAAGTTTTGTCTAGAATTTATGATTTCTGGAATATTTTAAGTAAAACTTTTGTATGGCTATTTATTATATCGTGTTAAACTCACCATGCGACTTTTGAAGTTTACTATTTTACGTTGGTCATACTAATAATGCGACGGCTGGCACGTACTTATTAGTAGATTTATCCATTACACACAACACTTATTAGTAACAAGCCTAGAGTCTTCGAAGTGATGATGATGCTTTCCAGTCAGTGAAATTTGGTTAAACATTTGGGATGAATTTTAAGACATCAGTAGAACGACAGAGACCGCTAGGTGCATTTGCGGTTGGTATTTCAAGGCAATATTGGATTATCAAACTTTTGCAATCAATTTTGCCAGACCGAATTCCACAGTCACCGTGGCCTGTCAGTCTGCACAGCACAGGATGACAGTGCAACAAGTGCGTGCGTACGCACAGGAGCAAAGACAGTGCACTATCTATTTCCTCACTGTCATAGTCCGACGGGACGGAAATCCGAGACCACCGGAGAGTTCAGGCACAGAACAGGCACAGGACCAATATTATAATGGGTGGCAGAAAAAAGGGTTTTTTTTGTAGTAATATAATGAATATGAATTTTATTATGATTGTAAGTTTTTAATGAATCTTTAAAACAATTTTGTTGTTCCAATGCTTTACGTATTTTTCGAGCGGGGGTGAAACATTGCAAACTTCCTGACTCCATGCTGCTGCTGAGAATTTCTTGACCGAAATATCCAACAGCTTATTTTGGCTTGACCTGGGATTTGGCCCTGTTGGTATTCACGCTTACAACCGCAAATAATATATAAATATAATAATTTCTAAGTTACAATATTTCATACAGAGAATATAAGTTACAGTTATTCCTTTTTATAGTAAAAAGTCGTTATTTATAATAAGTATAGGTACGGCTCCGTGGCACAGTGACTAAACAATGACTGAGCGCTGACGGCCATGGGTTCGAATCCAGCACGGAACAAGTATTTATTTGGCTCACAAGTAATGGTTTCGGGTCTGGATGTTTTTCCTAGCGAAATTCATGTATGTAAAAGGCCTCCACGATACAGAAGGAAATCCTAATGTTAGGGGTAACGATTTTTTTTATTCTAAAGGATTAAAAAAATAGAGTAAATATATAATAAGTCTATTGCAAAATTATTGTCAAGTTATGTGTTCCAAACCATCGATATCTTTATGAAAAACTTAAATATAACAAATATGAAAAGAAATTGGCACCTTTCGAAAAATACTTCAGATCCATCAGAGTCGCTGCGAGGTAATATGAGTTTTGGCAAAACCATGCCTTTCTTTCGTCTACCACGTACTCCAGAGGACGTAGGCCATTGTAGTTCTGTTAAAGCCATAGGGCTGTGAGGGCTGAGGATGGTAAGACGGCGTTCCGGCGGAGGTAAGCTGAGCTGTTGCAACGCTCGTCGTTCTGTGCTTGCGAACAAGCCTCGTTTTTTTTCTGCAGAATTACCCATATCTTCCCCTGATAACGCCCGTCGCGCAGGCAAACCACGCGTTTCTCGCACATCTCTATCGCTTGCAGTCAAAAACGAGCTGCGATGGATCCTAGCAGTTGTACATGAGCTAGCTGGTCGCGCTGGCGACGGGTCCTTCCTCGGACGAAGGCTTTCCATAGAACGAGCCGTCTCCACTCGCGTTGCCATCAAGTACTGACCACTTGTGACAGTTGTCTGAGCAACCTCACATTCCTCTTGGCTAGAACTTGAGGTTCCGCTTCGAGAAAATGTACTTGTTTTTGATACAAAACTTCTGTCACTGAATTGAGCTGTTGAAATGCTAGAGGTGTTCGCATCAGCCGATTCTGATGACGCTTGTTGACGCAAGAAACCTTCCTCTAACGAGGAATGCACAATACGTGCATTTAACGAACTGAAGGCAGCTAGTTTTGGCCTTCGAAGTTTCCTCTCATCATCTTCCTCATCCATTTTGCGTTTTTCCTATATCACCTATAATAGGACCTTAAACCTTAAGCGCGCCACTAATTTAATACACCATTTTTTATTAAAACATTTATTGTATTTTCATTGACGTTAACTTATATTTATAATAACATATAGTAAGGAACACTGGACACAGTCTTTATCACTCTTTGGAACCACCTCATGCACAATCAAACGACACCTGAAACAAATTATTCCAAATTAATATGAGGTTTAAATTTTAATGTATTACAAAATTACATTTAAGGGAAAATGTCAAAGGAAAAATGGGTAAAAAAAGTTTTGGTAGGATTTTGTAAAACTCGAACAACAAACTCAAGTAATTGTGTTTAAGGAATTAAATGGGTTCGTGTTATTCGCAATTCCTTATATTTTGTAATTGCAACGAAGAATGAGCTTTCTAAGAGATTGCTAATAGCATTATGAGGTTAATTTTAAATAACGGTTTTAATTACATTGCTTAGTTAGCAGGCTTTGAAGTAAGCGCGAGTTGTCCCGCTTCATTGGCGCAATCTGTAAGGGCTTTCACTTGTTCTGCATTAAGCCCTGTAGCTTTAACTTTCACATCAGCGCTTTTAGAATGCTCTTTGCTTTCGCTGCTTGACTCCACCCTTTTGGTAGTTTCATTTCCGAATTGATCAATAAAGGTTTCTTCTTCAAATTCTTCTTCGTAACTCTCTTCATAGTGCTCACGAAACTCTTGTCTTGCTTGAATAGTAACTTTCTCTTTTGTTTGTTTTTGTTGTATCAATTCGTCCATTGTTTTCTTGACGAGTTGCTGGCCTGCTTCTAAGTTCTTGTGTTCAGACATCTCGCTTCTTTTTTAAATATCTAAAAAGTATGGAAATTGATTAAAAATCTTTTTTTAATTAATTTCTTAATATTTTTTAATTAATTTAATTTATTAAACGACCGAACAATAACTTTGATTAAAGTATAAAAATACTCTGAAAATAGTTAATAAATTGGTGCAGTTCCTTTACGATCGAATTATTCAACAGTTGCAAAGGTAAAACGAGAAGTTTCAGTATGATGGAAACGAAAGCCGTGGCTGGCTGGCATCACGCCAGAAGCGAAAAGCTGCGGCCGTATTTAAATTTACGTCTCTGAAGAATTTCAGGGTGAGTGCGTTGAACAGAGGGCGGTCGCATTTTTATAAATCTAACTTCAGAATGCGATATCTATTGTCATACGTGACTAGGAAATCGAATAAATCTGACAGATCAAGAGAATTTTGTTTAGAATACATTGATTTAAAAGGACGTTTTATTTTAGAATACTGAAGACAGTTCCAGATAGAGAAAGTATCAATATTGTTTTGCAGTTGCATATTATTCAATATAAATTTAAAACAAACATTGTTTACATGTTCTGAATACTATGGTTATAAAATACGTGTGATGGTTTCCTTTTATTTATCCGACAGATGTTCACAAGTATCTTGTTTGGAATACATTGATTTAAAAGGACGGTTTATTTCGGAATACTGAAGAAAGTTCCAGATAGAGAAAGTATCAATATTGTTTTGCAGTTGCATATTATCCAATATATATTAAAAAAATATTGGTTACATGTTCTGAATACTATGTTTATAAAATACGTGTGATGGTTTCCTTTTATTTCGGATACCGAAAAAAAACTTTATTAAATGTCCAAACTCTTAACTTATATCGGTAAAGATCTAAGAAACAGAAACCTTATATATATTATTTAATTAATCATTATAGAAAATTTATTATTATTTGAAAAATAATGTAACAAAAAATTATAATTTAGATAAATATTTAAAAACAATTGTGTCACCTGGTAAAAAATATAGTGTTATAAACTTATAAACTAAATAAAGATGCAAAGCCAATACCTGAATAACAGACAAAATATCCTTTTTCCTTTTAGGGCACTTAAATCTATTGTATTTGTAAGACTTGTTTCTCGCGTCAAGATCTCGTGTGTACTGAGCTGGGACGCAGCGGGCTTTGTTCATGCTCCGAGCTTTGCGTGGGCGTTAGTTGCGTCTGAGCACGCCTGACGTGTCTTCGGCAGAATAACGGGTGGTTAGCAGTCTCGTTAAAATAAATAACAACAGTAATTAATTTAACTTTTATAGTATCCCTATAAAATAATTTAAATTTTATTATTTGATACGTTTGCGCCTTATCATCAAATGTCTAACATAACCTATTTAATTATTATTATTTAACAACATAATTTCAGAATTTAGTCAACAAAAGAACTTTTATTATTAAGTTATAATAATAACGTCAAAATATTTTACAAACTAAAATAACTCAGGCGCAGTAATTCAAAGACATTTTTACCAAGCGATTAATCAATATCAGCGAGTGTCTAAAACTACTTCAGTGACATTTATTACGAGGAAGCACGCGGTGCAAGCCAATCTAAATCCATATTGAATTCTTTAAAATTCCAACACGGGCCAATACGAGACGGTTGCACTGGACGAAGTACTTAAAATAGCCGTATGTATCAGAGACAACGGAGAAATACGTCTCGATGACTCCTTCATACGTAGGGGGCAATAAACAACCCGGGACGTGAATAATGATTGGCAAAGCTTTCTCTGACTCAGTTTATCATCAGTGTGATATCAAAGGAAATTCAACGTTTCTGGAAACCAAATAAAAATAAACTTTGTTTATTCATTACGCACTGAAAATTTATTGCATTAAACTTATTTTTCTTGTTTTAACCTAACAAATCAACAAATATTCAAATTTTAAATTAGTTGTTGTAATGCTTATTAATTATTATTAATACAGGCTTTACTTTTAAAAATCTTCAACATCATCATCATCATCATCATCATCATTACAGCCCTTCACAAGTCCACTGCTGAACATAGGCCTCCCCCAAGTAATGCCACAAAGCACCACCTGCATCCATCGACTTCCTGCATGTCTTACCAGGTCGTCACTCCATCTAGTGGGGGGTCGCCCTACACTACGCCTACCGGTACGAGGCTGCCACTCGAGGACCTTTCTTCCCCATCGGTTATCGGTTCTTCGAGCTATATGGCCGGCCCATTGCCACTTCAGCTTACTAATCCGTTAAAAGTTTCTTACTATGCTGAATATAATTTTACTTTTTTAAATAATAATATCGTATTTTTATATATATGTCATTACAGCCTATCAAAAGTTTACTCCTGAATATGGGGGAAGACGAGAGAAGATTACTAGGAAGATGCTGCTGCTCATCTCCTGGGTTTCTTCCGTCTGTCGCCTCTTACGAACATCTTTAATGATAATAATAATATTTTTATTCGGACTTCGTCCACAGAGATGTTAGTATAATAATAATATACACCTAAAACTAGAGTTCGTTATAAATATAACATCCCGCGTACAAGTACCTTATTTATTTACATTTGTCTAATTTTACATGTAGACTTAACCAGTGCCTCATAATGGCAGAATCCCACCTATCAGCAAGTGTGGTTAGGATGCTGTTGGTAGAGGTACGCAGTCGACTCGGTAACGCAGACGCAGACTTTCTACGTATAACGTAATGGCATAAAAGCCATCCGTGTGAGCCTCAGCGAAATGACGCGACAATCCCAACCGCACCCTGAACACATTGTTGTATTGGACACGCAGGACGTTGTATGCCCGCTGCGTATATCTAACCCACAAGTTGCATATGCAAAAGCACTGACAATACGATTTAATGTGTTATTTTTACTTCTTTATTACGTCGCGCAAACCTGCGCGCCAACACATTACAGCGAACAGCCACAGCCGTCCTGTGTTTCCTTTCGTGATGGTGCATATATGTACTTACACCAACACTACACGGTAGTTTATGTATCTCATTCGCCTATATTATATTTATTTTTAAATATTAGCTATTGAAATATTATTTTTTATCAAGCATTCTATCACAGCTTGCCAGGCAGACGTTGTTCTGCCCTTTTCGACAATTTGTCATGTCCTATTTAAAATTATTTAATTTGCAAAAAAAAAATGTGCGAAAAAACTATCCTATCTCTCAAGTTGGATTAAACTGCACACGGTGTGCAAATTTAATTAAAATCGGTTAAGTAGTTTAGGAGTCCATCGCAGACAAACAACGTGATACGTAATTTATATATATTAAAATTATACTTTTAATAAAAAAACTAAAGGTAGCCGGACTAACTATGACATTGGAACGACAAACATTTCAGTCCTCCCCGTGACCATGGGTGCTGTAAAGCACCTGAAACGTCGGGATAATAAAAATAAGTTGAATTAGTAATTAAACGCGGTAAAATCCGTAAATAATAGTTTGATTCAATGTTTAGTGTTCGAGTAAATTTAAGAAATCATTAAACATTATACTTCTTAAGTTAAAATGTTTTAAAGCAAAACTACTTGTAATTTTTTTCCGTCGTGAAACATAAGTAAATGACTGACGTCAAGGTTTCTAGTTTAGGTGTTGGAAATAAACGAGTAATGCAATAATATTAATGAATACATATTCAAGGTTAACCAAACGTAACCAATTGACGTATAGATTAATCGCCTTTATATCTACTAACTTCGTTAAATTTATGGCTAAATTATTGCAGCTTAATAAACAAAAAATGCTCGTTAACAGCTTCGCTGCCAACTGGAATATGGTGACGTCATAGGAAAATCCATTGTTTTTTTTTTTTTTGTAAAATATGCATGAAGGACGTTTCAATATTGTTATTTTGGAAATATTTAACTATTTTTAGAAGGTTTTGGTAAGAAAATGCTAAATAAAAAAAATCCGCGAATTTGCGGACCTGGCACATTTTCAACCCCAGTGCCAAGTCTGCAATTTTGCGGAGTAGTTTCTTTTATGTATTATGGTTTATTTAAAATTATCTATGGTATTTAAACACAAAGAAAATAGTAGTTTGCTTAAATTCTAATACCTTTGGTAAGTGTAAGCAGTGCCGGGCGCGTACTAATTCGTAGAAACCAAACGGCACTACTCCGCATATTAGCGGGGCCGGC